GATATAGGCAATAACGGTATAGGATCCTGTACCTGAGCACTTCTCCCTTCATTACGGCCGAGACGGCGACCGCTGCGGTGAGCTGTCCATGATCGCCTGAATCATTGCCGAGCCGAGCTTCGTCGCGTCGTCGAAGCGCGACTCGAAGAACGCGGCGGTCTGCATGAAGCGTTCGCGGTAGAGCTCAAAGCTGCCGAAAGCGATGCACTGGCTCCACCCGCGCGCGGCGACGACGAACTCGAGGTCGTCCGAACGATGTGCGAGCTGGTGCAGCGCGGCGTGGATCGCGGCGTCGAGGCGCTCCTGCGAGCGGAAGAGATACTCCGCGACGCCGATCCAGAGCCGGAAGATCGGCGTCGCGGCCAGGTCGAGGTGCACAAACGGCTGGATGCGCAGGTGCGCCCAGCAATCGACCATCGCGAGCAGGGACAGGTGCGAGTTCGGCGGCGCGACGCGGGGGAGGCGCGGTGGGGCCGGGATGTCGTCGTTTCCGACTGCGGGTGAGGGAGGGACCGAATCTGGGCTGGGCATCTTGCCGAGGCTGAAGCGGTCGAAGATGTCCTCGGAGAGAAGGATCGGGGCGCGTTCCTGCGTGCGGGGCGCTCCGAACACGGTATCGCGAGCGGCGTAGATGCGTGCGCGGAGGGCGCACTCGTCCCCGGCGAGCATGAGCTTGAATATCTCGGTGGCACTTTGTGCGTACTGGTCGATCTGGACTCTTGCGGAGGGATTGAGGATCGCAAGGCCGGCGTAGACGTGCCATTTGTTGGAGTAGATGCGCAGCATGATGTTAACCTTGACAGTCTCGATGCCCTTGACGTATACCGAGGTTTCCCATGGGTAGGATTTGGCAGCTGCCCAGGCAGTGCCCATGCTAAGCAAAGGTCGGTGAGCACTGTCAGGCGTCTAGTAAGCGAGCCGCTCACCTGAGGAAAGCGGCGTGAGTGACCGCTTGTGTGTTTGCTGTGACGACATCGTGGTCTTCGTAGGACAGGTACACATATCGAGATTGGAGGGGCTTGAGTATGTTCTCCACCAACGTGAGCGCTTCATCCGGGGCACGATGTTTGATCAAGACCTGCAACAGGGTCAATAACGGAGTCCCAGTTTCTTCGTATTCTCGTACCAAAGGCTGGCCCAGCGGGGACACCGTCGGCCCATGTAGCGAATGGCACGACACAATGTGCACATCTTCGGGGAGGTACTTCTCGAACGCCTCCCTCTCGGGCGCCTTCACGGACGTCTGGCCCGCGACGATCGCGCCGACCTTGGTAGCTGGAACGGCGCGTGAGCCTCGGGGAGCGGGAAGAAGACAGCGCGGAACGGACAGGGCCCATACTCCGCGACGACCTTGCCGAAGTACTCCGCCTCGACGGAGTACATGATCCAGTCCGAGACGCGCGAGACGAGGTGCCCGTCGCGCAGGACGGTCACACCGGGTGAGTCTAGTTCGTTCAAGCGGCTTCCATGAGCATCCTAGGTGCGTATGCGAGGGACCTTCGGGCTGGACACACCTTTCCACTTCTCGCGCAAAGCCTCGTACTTGCTCGGCTGGTCACAGACGTAGATCCTGTGTTCAAGACTCGCGGTGAGCAATATGACTCGAACAGTCAAGGCAAAAGCAGACGCACTTCTTCCATCCTGCCGCGGAAAAGTACCGCGCATACATGCTACCCATAGCTCCCATACCAATGAGGCCTATCGCGGGCTGCTCCTCGATGGGCGCATCGGGTGTTACGTCGGGCCTGACCATCCTAGCAAGTCTATCTGGAATGACTTGTTTGACGCCTTAATGCCTGAAGTGTGGAGATATCGCCCAAGAGCCCGAGGAAGAGACTTATAGCACTGCCAGAGGATCGCGTGCAGTTCAGGGGCAACCAGAAGGACCCGGCGGTGAGGGTATAAATACAAGAAAGCAGGCGTGGCCGGTGACAAGGCAGGTCGAGTCTCTCGGTGAAACCAGCCACACGCACTAGCTTCTCATTTGCCGACTTCCTAATTTGGAAGTGACGATCACCCTACTCGCTTAACACTCAGCTCGTGGATGGAAGGCTGTATTGTTCCTGTCGTGTGCCATTATCAACGTTGGCATACACTAGTGCAAAGCAGCGTCAACAAATATGATCGAAGGCCTACCCGCGAAGCCTTCTAGCGCATGGCAGGTTCTCGACGATCGCTGCGTTGATAGCCTTACGTTCCGGAAAGGATCCTCGTCTCCCTCGTGCGCTTCGATCACCAACGTGCGATGTGAGAACGGTATGAATTACTATTACACTACGCCTAATGCATAGAACGGTACACCAGGTAACCTACATCCAGGGTCCAGCCTTCTAGCATTACACCAGCTACTATATGACGGGAATAATGTAGCACGACCAGCGATATACACGGACACTCTGCGAGGGTATCTTGATTCCTCTATGTTCAGCTAGTGTTGGGATGTACGTGTGTGCGTGCGCAGCATTGCGATAATCGTTGTCGTGTGGTTCATGACTGATTGTCATCAGTTAAATAGCAGGCCAAGCCGTTTAGGCCAGCGCCTGATTCGTGCAAGTGAACGGGGCAGCAAATGAGCCCGCGCGGTAGCCTGATTAACGTAGATCAGCCACGGCCTTGTAAGCGAACACAGAACGACGTACCCTCAACGATACTGTTGATACTGGAGTACAGGCCCGCAACCATAATGAAAGCGCCCGCCTGCAGAATGAGCTTAGGGTTAGGGGTTAATAGTCGTCAGTGGGGCTTAGACACGCACCAGAACAAGAGACCCCCAGAAGATGGTCTTGACGCGCTGCCAGGGCGTGCTCCACCGCTCAGACGGCGGCGTAAGGTGGAACCAGAAGATGCCCGAGATGCCGTAGGTGAACCAACTAAACAGAGAAGGCTGTGAGCGACTGCCGAAGATCCGAGCGAGAAGCGCAGCTTACCTCGCGAAGAGCGCACTGATGACTCCGAGCAGGTCATTGAAGAAAGGAATGCTGGAGATAGTCGTGAGCATGTGAATGCGACGCTTGAGCGATCGTGCTTACACTTCAGCAATGATGAAGGCCATCACCCAGATGACAACGCAGATGCCGATCCAGGTCAGCCACCCGAGTACGGAGTGAGATGTCATGTGTCTTGACTTCGTCCCATCGTTCATGCGGAATCTGCACGACATGAATTAGTCATTATACAGTTGAGGGCTCGAGCAAATACCAACATTCTGACGAAGATCTTCGGATGCATGATGTCAGCTTGTACTCGGCTGCCTTCACACCAAATGTACTCACCAGCTTTGCACAAACGTGCCCGTTGATGACACCCGCAACGAAAATGGTCGGAAGCGCAATACCATACGAGATCTTGCGGAGGGTCTCGCCAGTGTTGCCGAGCGCGGGGGAGACGGTGTTGGGACCCGCGAATGCGTAGACAACAATACCGACGATGAGGTACAGAGTCGTATCGGCAATCTGGAGCATGTACAGCGCTTTCGGGAAGTCCTGTATGACCGCACCATTAGAGCCAAATTTTTGTGACGGTAAGAAAGGGAACGTACGAGAGGATTCTTCATCTCCGCGATGAAGGTGAAGAATGCAACGTGTCCGGCATAGGCAAAGATCTGCGATATGGATTAGATACCGACTGCTTCGAGGCATTTCGTTGTATACTCACAATGTCCGTGACGGCCAGGAAACCGCTCGCAAAGCTCAACTTAGCGGTGACTGCGACAGTGCCCTGATGGCCGATAATTCCAACACCAATCATCGTAATGAGAACCGCAGCTGCAGTCACACGATGAGCACGGACCGCCGGAAAACACGCGCCGACTTACTGATGATGGATATGAAGGACGCAACGCTAAGGTACGAAATACCGTTCAGCGTGCGGGGGATGGTGAGGACCATGCAGACGATCGCGGATATGCCCGCCCAGAGGACGGAACACGACGCGCCGGCGGTGATGGTGTCGAACGCGATCATGCCCGTGAGGACGTGGCTGCCGCAGATGAAGACCATGAAGATGATTTGCGCCGTGCCCAGCACCTCTCGGCCGATGGGTCCCGCGAGGATGTAGCCCGCATCCGCCATGTTGTGCACCTGCGGGTAGCGCACCTTGAAGGAGCCGATGAGGTAGCCAGACGCGGTCGCGACGAGACCGAGGCCCTGCGTATGACAGGTGGGGTAAGCCGGGGCGGTGGAGAGGGTGGGGTTAAATACGCACGATGACGAGGATGCAGCCTGCGACCATGCCGAGGCTTGCGAAGACGGAGGGAATGGAGAGGATCTGTGAAGGCAGTAAATTTCGAGACATCCTACGAGCTGGGGGAAATACGCACACCGAGGGACACTGTCTCTGCTAGCATGAGAGCGGCGGCCTTCCACCACACCATTGTGCGGTACTTGACTGTGAAACAGTACGTTTAGTGTTATTCAACGTGTACTCGAAGCAAACAAAAATACGCACTGTCTGCCGATTCATCATCGCCATACACATCGAACGCATCCTGCTGGACGGGATGTGTTCCCTCCTTTGCATACATCATCTTTTTCTCCGCGTCGTGGTCGCTATTGACGGTACGGTTATCCGTCGCACTGGCCATGCTTGTGCGGCCTTCGTCTGAGTTGCGCGGGGGACCAGGGTAATTCGAGCGAGACATGAAGGAAACGGGGCCTGCGCTGGCTGGTGGGGGTGGCGGGCTCGGACGACGGCAGGCTAGCGGGTTGGGTATTTGACTGCAGGAAATTTGCGGGGTGACTCAGTCTGAAGAGCGGGATTGGATTGGCTGGGCTGAAGGGCGGGGTAACGGGGTAGGGGCGATAAGAGGCGGCATCTTATAGATGGCTGAAGGATGCGCCCGGTGGATGAAGTCACTCGCGGAGGCTCGTTTGCCAAGCCTGCCGCCCGACGCATCGCTTCGCACCACTCCCTTGGAGCGAACCGACGCCCACAACCGGCCGACGCGTCCCGTCACCAGCCTCCCGCACACTCACGACATTGACGGATGCCGAGTTTGTATTGGGCATGTGGTGTAGTTGGTTATCACGCTCGCTTAGCATGATTATCTCAGCTTGCGAGAGGGGTCCGGTTCGATCCCGGACATGTCCATTAGCACTTCACTGACTTTTTATTAATTTTTGATAATTCCGGAGGGCCTAATGGGAGGCTTCAATGTGCCACAAATTTATTTACCACTCTCTCCCAAGTTCCTTGAGTCTTTGTGCTGAGCATGAAAACCCTCGGCTGAACGAAGGGCAACTGTTGAGGCGCAGTGTGGCCAAGAGCCTGTGAGCGCCCGACGAGCGCTTGCGGGTGCGGGGAGAGAATGACTGGACGAGGGCGGTGCGGACGTAATACCACAGCTCAACTCTCGTTTTCAGGACGCTTCACGCAACGAGCTCGAGGAGGGCACATAATTCTGCGGCAGGCTCTCTGTCTTGGCTATGGCCGCCTCCTTCGCCGCATACGCCTCCCAATTCCTCCAGAGGCAACATAGTGGTGCCGCGTCCAGCCTATCGTCCTCCCAGCCACTCTTCTTCTCTTTCACCACCGACAACGGCTCCCGCGGCGGGAACATCAACGAGACTGACCTGGATGACCTGGACGACCCACATTTGCACACGAGCAGCATGAGCAGAACAACCGTGCGCAGAGACGAGGAGCAGCTAGGGGGTGCGGAGGACGATGATCCGTACCTACGTCTGGACGAAGAGGAGCCAGGTAGGTCTCGTCACCAGTCGCATACGATGCCCCTCCTCGGGGCGTCCAATGCAGAGAGTGTGAAGGGCTGGTTGGCGCATGCGTCGCCTTTGCGCTCGCCATCACCGTCTCCGTCAAACTCGTCCGCGGATTCTGGCAATCCGCCACCCGATATCCTCAGCTCGCCCTCGCATTCGTCACCACGTCCCCTGCGAATATCACAACCACACCAGCCCCCGCCCCCGCCGCGAGCTGCAGTCACGCTATCGCTGACCGAGTCGCTACTCCCCCGGGACGGCCGCACACGACCACTCGATGTCTTCTCCCTCCCGGACCCCCGCTACGTCCCGCGCGGCCGGCGGAAGTTCAACGATTCGGTATGGATCACCGTATGGTGCACTGGACTCAGCCTATGTCTCGTCTTCTCGATCGTGCTCCTCTTCACAACGCGTCCGTCTCGCAGCAATCTCCCCTATACTACACTACTGCATACCGTCCCGCTATTGACGATCCTAATCTTCCTGAGTGCTATCGTTGCATATGCGCACGTCTTCCTCCTCCGCATCTTCGTCAAGCCGGTGATGATTGGCACATCTGTGTTCATCCCGGCGACGCTGTTCATCTCGGCGATATGGGCGTTTGTGGGCAGCTTTATGTGGGATGGCGATCAGGAACCAACGTGGGGGGAAACTGTCGGGTGAGTGCGCTATTCATCATCAGATGCACGAATACCAATCGTGTTCCTTTAAGTCTCCGGCTGTTCTCCTTGATTCCACTAGCACTATCGCTACTGACCGCCCGCCGACTCCTGACGCTTCCGCGCGAGATCCACACCGCGTCGTCCCTGCTCACACTCACGACCCGCCTCCTCGTCGCCAACCCCTTCCTTCTGGCCCTCTCGCCTGCTGTCCTCCTTGCGACCCTCCTCATCTCGATCCCCTTCATCACGCTCTCGTTCCGTCTGCTATTGGTCGGTTACTTCACGCATCCTGCCGGCAATCCGAGTGGATGGGAGTGGCATGTCCGCGGGTGGGCAAACTGGGCAATCGCAGGAACGGTTGTGGTATGGCTGTGGACGTGGGGCGTTGCGCGCGGACTACTGCGTGTGGCCTGTGCGGGGGTCATCGGCGCGTGGTACTTCAGCGAGTAAGTCCCTGTCATTCTCGTGGAAGCTGTGCTATCCAGTTCGCTCGTACTCACGCCTGCTTGTACAGTCCGACGCTGCCTCCGCCGCCGCCCACGTCGACACACACGATCCATGCCGCGCTCTTCCGTGCGACACAACCCTCGCTTGGGACTGTCATCCTCTCCGCGCTCATCGTCGCGTCACTCCGCGCGCTCTTCACCCTCACGGTGGGTCTGCGCGCGCTCCCCGCATACCTCCCGCTCTACATGCGCTTCCTGGGCCCCGCCGCGACGTTCGCGGTAGGCTACCTCGAGAACGTGACGGGCACGCTGAGCACGCACGCGCTCATATACACGGGCCTGACGGGTGACGCGTTCTTCCCGAGCGCGAAGCGCGCGCGGGCCCTCACTGGTGCGGCGGAGAATCCCTCGTTGGTGAATTACAGGAGACGGTTTAAGACGGAACGTAAGTGGCGCATTGGGTTCTTCCCGTGGATTCAGAAAGACTGATAATGCTGTGCAGCTCCGCTCACCCTTCTCACAGTTGCGCCGCTGACGCTCACTTTCCCTTTTGCGCTGGGAACCTATCTATTTGTCGCGCATACACTTGATGCACCACAACAGGCGTTGTCAGCTGCCATGCTCGCCGGAGGAGTAACCGCGCTTGTAGGGTTGTTCTGTATTGGTCTCGTGAAGGACACGTATGTGGATTGTCCGTTTTCGTCCCTGAAATGCCCACTAAAGGAGATATTCTTCTTTCAGTGCGGATACTCTATACATTTGCTATTGTATAGACAAGGACGTAGGTAAGAGGCGGCGACAGGAAGTCTTCGAGGCAGTGAGTACACGTCGCACCACTCATCATTTCATGGGTCTGATAAGCTGCTAGTTCGAATACGAGAGCCGTAGACGACCAGCTCCAGCTCCGCCACAACGGCCCCCACCTCCGCGCACGCAGTTCCCCATCCCACAGCCTCAGCTCCCGCAGCCCGAGCGACGCCCCTATCGCAACCCGCTCCCTCCCCAACACGCGCCGGTCCCGCCCCTGCAGATGACCCCACCCCCGTACCAGCCGGCATCCCCGCCCCCACGCGCTCCAACTCCGGACCCGTTCGAGCAGGAGTCACCCGCGGAGGCGCAGCCATACCCCGACCCGTTCTCCCCCGCGTCCTCCACGCACCACTCGCTGTCGCGTCTCCCGCTCAGCCAGCGGGGGAGCCGCACTGTGCACCCGGAGCCGGTGCTCCGTCCGCCGCTCGCGTCATACCTCGAGAGCGACGAGGAAGGCGAGGTCGAGGGCGAGGAATCGCAGCTGTTCCCGGGATCGGATTTGTTCTAGATTTGTATGCTCGCGTATACCAAGTTTGGTGCGCGCGGCGCTGTTGTATGTATACGGGCACAAGAGTGCCCGCTTTTACGAGACGGACGGTCGGAGTTGTAGATACGCGCTGTGCCTTTGTTGTTTGTTGTGTATCATATTCAGGGTCGCATCTCAGGTGGAGGGGCGCATATGTTTGTTTGTCGTATCGGATTTTGTTGCATGCTTTGTCCTATAATTTCAGTAATCTCCACGCTTTGCTGGCTCTTTAGCTTGTGGCATCCGCTTGCGACTAAGATGCCTCTTGAACTGCTTGGATGAATTGGCCACAACCACAGTCTTTCACCCGACCGAGCGCTCAGACGGGAGTCCGGGGCCCGTGCATAAAAACTCGCCGATTGAGTTCGACGTTCCAAACTCCTCCTCGATCTTACCTGCACCCAGGGCTGAGCCACACCTTGAGCCAGGGCCCCTTCTTCAGGACTCATCGTCGGCATCCCTCCCGCCGCATCTCGAGACCGGCCCACATTTGACACTATGGCTTCGTCAACCACTGAGGTGGCACAAGACAAGATGGATCTAGACCCACAATCCATTTTCGAAAGCATCCAAGCAAACCGAGAACACGAAGTGCCGGTGGACAATTTGCGTCAGATCATCGATTTCACGATGCGACACCTGGCGGCGGATCTCCGGTGCCTGGCGTCGTGCCGCAACCTCCTCTCGCCCACCGTCGCCCGTCTGCCTGTCGAAATTCTCGCCCGCATCCTGTGGTTTGCATCTTCTTACAACAGTGACATACTTCACGCGAGTCATGTGTGCCAACACTGGCGCAAGGTCGCAATAGAGAATTCGCTGCTCTGGTCAGTGATCGAGACATGGAACATCGACAGGACGCGCGAGTTCCTCAGGAGGTCGAAAGTATCGACGCTGAACATCGAGATCGAAGGATGCTATGAGAAAGATAGCTGCAGCTGCGCTAGCACAATGGAGGAACTCGAGCCGCACATGCATCGCGTCCGGAGGATCGACGTTGCGATCGAACGCCCTGCGGAGCTCAAGAAGTGGTTTGACTGGCTCACGGATCGCTCTGCTCCCCAGCTGGAGAGCCTGTTTCTTACGTTCACTCAGGAATGCGAAGGGCACAGGCGCCCCCCTTTTTTCATTCATCCGAAGATGGTGTTTCAGGGCAACTTGTCGCATCTCCGTTCTCTTGATCTCGACTCTATCGTGCTGTGTTTACCCGACCCTGCCCCCACATTTCCTCATTTGACGTACTTGTCAATTTCCCTCCACAACACCAAAAAAGCCCCCCCACTGTCGAAATGGCTCGAAATCCTGAAACACAGCCCGCAGCTACGAGACCTGAGCATACACAACCGCGCAAATTCCGTGTGCGAAGAACTGCACACCCTCGGCGAGCGTAATACTGACCTGCAGGTGAACTTTCCCGTACTATCTGAGCTCCGCCTCGTCAAGACGCCGGTAAATGTCATACAGGCCATTCTGAAGCACCTGCTCCTCCCAGTAACATGCTCTATGGAATTCGACATCGACAACACAGCCTGGATAAGGCATTCAACCTACACATTGGACTACAGGGATATCGGCGGCGTCTCGCTCATCAAGACCATCAAAATTTCGCGCAAGAATTCTGCTGCCCTTGAGGGCTATATTGGGGGCCATGAAGGGCCGCCGCTGCTCACTGTGAAAGCAGAACAAGAGACGCTTAACTCTACCCTCGATTCTCTTAGCCAGTGCCTGAACGTGTTCAACGTCAGAGTGCTCGTGGCTAGGTCCCTCGACATGAACGATTGGAACAAGATACTCTCGCAGCTTCCTCAGCTCCGAGAATTGTGGATCAACAACTCTGACGACCCGCGAGACGGCAGTTTACACACTGCCATGCGGACCCTTGCAATTCGGGGAGTCTGTCCAATGCTTCGGAGGCTGCACGTCACCCAGG